AATGCCATAATAGTGGCTTTATCCTTAGTGACAGGTGAGTGATCCCAAAGGACAAGGCTTGAAGAGCAGGTATCAGAAAAATGAACCGGAAAGCATTTAAAGTTTTATCTGAGTGGATTGTGACATGTAGCTACAGAAAAAAGTATTGCATTTCATCCAGTGCAATAACAGTGGCAGACTCTTTGGGTACATTTGTGATTTTTTTGATATTACAAAAAAAGTGTGCAATGACATCTCCTAAATGGAGTTTCTCTGATACCTAAATATCCCAGTAGTGGTAGCACAGCATGAGCCTTGAACTAGTTTTGACTGCATGGCAGCTGGGTATCTCACAGAGTAGAAAAGAGAGTAGATAGAGCAAATCTGGCCTTGAAATTTTGGGAGAACATGTCTGAGTGCAATGCGGGGGAATACGCTTCTCCTACCCAACCCCAAAATCAACAAAGCACCCATCCTGGCACGCCCTTACAAGAGAGTATGAATATCTTGCAAGGAGGGAAGACTTTGGGAATTACAGCCCAGTCAGTCTCACATCAGTTCCTAGTAAGATTATGTGGGACAGGCCCCTGAAAATTATTACAATGTAGACATGAAAAGCAGGCAGTTGGGATAAAATGAACATGGGATTAGTAAAGGCAAGGAGCACCAACTTGTGGCCTTGCAAAAAGAGAAGCCTGTCTCAATGTACAAGAAGAGTGTATGCTCTTCTTCAACTTCATAAAGGCTTTTGACGTGATCTCCTATGCTACATCCTTATAACTCAGTCAGAGAGAGAAGCTCAACGAAGATATTATCTCAGAAAAATAATTTGAGGTTGTCACAGAGGCACCTAAGGCCCAAACATAAACCTAAATATATGCAATGATTTAGGTGAAATTAGCAAAGGTTAATTCTATTTTGATGATTATATATACTCAGATAAAAATAAAACAATGTAAAATAAAGCTCTCTAAATATGTATAAGGATATTCAATCTATCAAGTAAAAATCTGGAGGAAAAATACCTAAAATAAATCCTGCTTTGAACCCCACCTACAATTTCTTAATTCATATAGAATTGCATATTTTAAAATACAAAATATTCAAGAAGTTTTCGGTTTCCCCTGTTCAGTAAGAAGTTCATATATTCACTATTTCTTGTTTTCTTGACATTTTCCCAAAGACTTTTAACTCAATTATTAAATTCTGTGTTCTCTAAGGATATCTCTGGAAAACACATGCTAATTTCAGAGAATACATTTTTAACCTTATTAATTGTGAAAAAAAAACCCCAAAAGCAATCCCCTCTGCTTTAAAGGACAATAGGATACTTATTTTATGTAATGGAAACAATTTAACAAAGAGAAAACTGGATTTTTTTCAGCCCTTAAGAATTGTATGTGCAAATGGAAAAGATTAATAAACCCAGGAATACATTCTTGAGAAACCACCACGAACCACTTTTACTGTTATATGACAAGCTAATAAGACTATACCTTGATTATTTCTATTCAAAAGTGCAGCAGTATGGATGAAGTAGCATGATAATAAAAGCATTTAATTCAGAAGAACTGAAATATCAAAATAATTCAGGATGTTGCATTATGTGTTACTTGATTTCATACATCTCATTAATGATACATTGTAAAGAATGAAGTTTGCATCATATCAATGCAAATGATATAAACATTTATATAAGGGAAATATAACATGGTCTGGATGAAACTCACTGGTTTCAGGCTAGCAATTTGATCAAAATTATACAGCTAGACCATTCATAACCAAAATGTAATTCTCTAAGATTCATTTCATGGAGTACACATTCTGTGTATAATAAATATGTCAATTCAGAATCAAACGAGCCCTTATCTGCTCAGGGTCTGATGCATTATTTTAAATTCTGACATGCAGCAAAGCCATTTGATGAAAATACAAAAGTCTCTTTGTGTAAACATAGAATTGGGGGTAGGAATCCACTAACTAGGTATGGTAAAAAGGGCAAAGCAAGAGGAACAGGTCAAGGGAAACAGCACATTTTGAGTAGCCTTCTCTCATGTAAACAACTTCTACACAAAAGAAAATACTCATTTTAGTCAAGACATGGCTTTTTCACTGCTACCTTTGGAAAGAAAATTTTGTACTATCAGCAGTAAATATCACTAGAAATTTTCTTTTGTTTTTAAGAATTCACACACGTTTGTTTTCCAACTGACTTAAATTCAAGTATTTTAGCATTCACTTTGAATATTCAGGGTTTCAATGAAGAAATCACAAGATCAGTCAGTGTTTCAACCTATATACAAAATTCAATACCATTCTCTTGATAAACGCAGTTTAAGGTCTGCATTTAGCAGTGTATAAATGATCTTATTTGGGCATCCACATATGCAGCAGACAAGTGGTCTTCAGTAAGCATATATGAGCTTTACACTAGCAAATCTGGCCAATCTCACACTTAAATTGCAGCAGCAGAGAGCTCAGCTTCTCCTACCTACTCAAGACTCTTATCAGCAGTAATTCACTATCAGAATCAGAGGTGAATGCTGCCCTCTCAATGAACATTTTTATCACTTTCAGCCTCAGTCTACTAAAAGACAGCACCAGCAAAATGTGCAAGAATTCCAGTCATGCCTCTTGCCATAGCACAGCACACCCACTGCTGTTGATGACACCCACCCTGCTGATGACACTGGCCTTCCCACCTCACTCTGCTCGGTGCTGCGGTGGGAGAGAGTGAAGGCCTGACCTCCTGATCTGAGAGCCTCCTTGGAGGTCCCCCTGAGGTCATTCCACGTTCTGCAGTGCAAAGAAAATATACGGCTCCTGCAAAGTTACTACTGAATGTTACAAGTCATCCCAGCAGTTAATCAGACACTGTCACTTTAATGGATGTGTACTTAGGGAAATGAGGATAGGCTTAAAGAACTAACTCTCCTTCTAGAAAATAAGCAATGAGTTGTTGATTTCACAGAATATTTTAACTCCATTATACAGCAAACTCAAATCATTATTACTTCCATGAAAAAGGCAGACAAAAGCATTCCTGTCTGTACTACCCAAAGTAAACACTAATAGCTGGTGAGCAGAATCTGCTGTAGGTATTGACTAGGTCACTACTGACTGTGATGAGAGCTCAGAAAACCTAGCTTACTTTTAGATTTCAACAGCACTGTGGCCATTTTTGTAAGTGCCAAAAAGGCTCATAGCACATGCAGATGCCATACAGCTGTAGAAATACCCTGCAGAGACATTACAAAACCCTACTGCTAAGCTGGATACCGCTCCAGAGGTTTCCTTCATCATTCCCTCCTGGCATTCCATTTGCATACAGAAGTTACTGAACTTTCGCACAGCTACTGATCAAGTTGACATAAGACTGGAAAGTGGACCTAGTTCAAAAGTGCTGCAACATGAGAATAAAGCCTGTGGAAATACTACTTTTAATCTAGGTGACAAGTGTCATAAAGTTAATACATATAAAGTAGCCTGCAACTCCAAAAGTATTTTATTTGAATTATTTTGGCCAGTTAATGATCAACTCTATTTTCTGCTGGCTTGAGAATACGTACTGATAAGTGTCATTTATTCATGAGTCTCACAGGACTAGTGGGACTTTATGTTAGGCATCTGGTAGATTCTGCATCCCTTTCCTTTAAAATAACTATGCATTAAATATGCCTAAAATGCATTTGTGTGCACTTTTTTCTGAACTTTGTTAGTAGCTAAATGAAATTAGGACCCTACTCAAGTCTCATTACTGCCACTTGAAACAAAAATTTCCATCCTCTCTTTAACAGAACCAATGTTCTGCAATAAGAAGCACTGGGCAAGAAAATATTCTAAATCATTACTCTCATGTACAGTAACAACAGAACATGGAACAGTAACACACACTGTCCACTCAAAAAAAGAAATGGGAGAAATGCAGACATCATGAATAACGTTCTGCGGCCTTGAATGAAAAGTATGCTCCCTTCAAGGTTGCTTTATTATAAAAGTTTTCATTACCTAGGACAATACTGGTACTGTATTAAACATTGAAAAATCTTAGCTTTACAGAAAAAGAAGATGAAGAGACTACCTCAAGGATTTATTAACACAAGAGTGAACTAATCAAGAGAAATGGGAAACTGTCATCTCAATTATGAATGTACTCAAGACTTCATATACATAGAAGACAGATTTCAAAAGACAAAATTTTTCACAAAGGAATTTAGGGTCAACATACTTGTGATTCCTGTCAAATGTAGCAGTATGCATATTAAAATTCTTTTCAGATGATTGACTGAAAACCAACATACCATTCTACTCTGATCATAGGTAATAACACTCAGAGTAAAAAGATGATTTTTCCAGCATTTCGATTTTTTTAAATTCATTGACAATGTTAATATAAACAGCATAACAATCAAAACAGAGTTAAAATGACCTACACTGAATTTCATGTTACAAAGTTTCTTTTCATTTTTCCTCTGTAATAACGTGATGCTATATGATAATTACATTTAAACAACATTTAAAAGGGTTTGCTTTGAAAAATTAAATCCTAGAGACATTACACTGTATAGCAGGATTTCCTCTACCTAATGAGCAAAATAAACCCAAAAAAACCTTAAAATTAAAAAAGTAATGAAAAAGAAATCATGATAGCTAGTGATAAAAAGAACAAAACCATTCCTTATTTCACTGCATTTTGAACTTATCACCACTCTTGTTTTTCTGGACTTTACATCAAATGAGAGTCAAATGTTCCAATCCCAGTGCTGAGGTCATTTGAAGTATAAAATATACATGCTTTGAATCTCCTTTCTTTAGGATAAAACATTTCTTTTAAGAAGCAAGCAAGGTTTCAGAAAAAAAATAATTGACATGAAGGAAGCTTTCACTGCTAAGATATTCTCAAAGCAAACCTCTACTGATTGCTAATCTAGGAGGTGTAAGAATTCAACTTTGTAGTTTGAGACTGAAGAGATCAATTTATATTAGCTGCAAATTAAGAAATAAAGATGAAAAATACCTACCTTTCGGGAATGGATTTCTTTCACATATAGTGGAAGTAGAAATTCAGATATTCCTTCAAGTCGTATTCCTTTTTTAGTGACTCTCAAATTTCCCATTCCATCCTACAATCAATAATATATATATATATTCACTTTAGGAAATAACCTTAACCAGAACAACCTAAAAAGAAGACAGTAGTTGGCTTAACCCCTAAAAATAATGAGTGCTATCCCAGTGTCCCCAGCTCTTCTCATGATCTTGAGGAGGAGGTAGATGGGCACATTTATAGCCAGAGCCTCACCTAGTGCTGAGGTATTTAACTGTGAAACCTGATGGTGACCTGCACACTTTATTTCTTGGCTGCACCTAATGCCAGGGAACAACTGTGGACTACCATTATTCCCCGTGTAGGGTGAAAAAAGATAATGATTTTTACAGCTGCTCAATAAAAAAACTAGTTAATTTTTTCTCTATATATGTAACATTTGGTAAAGCAATTTATTCATGGTTATGTCTTGAATCCAGTGGATTTTTTTCCCCAGTTATTAAAACAGGAAAATATCATTTAGGAAGAAAGAAAATTGTCCTTAGTGGTTGCTCATCACCACTAAGAGCATGTTGCTGATGAACAACTTCCAAAATGCTAATTTTGATTGTTTCTGTTTATTTATCAGAATAGAAATAGGAAAGGTGCCATTGTAAATGTCTGGATGAAACAAGTAAACCACATAATTCAATGTTCAATAAAATATAAGCATAGAAAAGTGGCGTAATAAGGCTTCAGCTGCACTCTTACAGAGAAAAAAACCAATGGAACATGCTTGATACTCAAGAGACAAAATTATTTTGCACAGCAATAGAAATCCAAGATTTTTTATCCCGAGAATCTTGTTACTGTATTCCTGACAGGAAAGTAATTCTTCATTGTACATCCAGCGGAATTTAACTTGATCCACTTAAGTGCAAAATAAACACATTTAATCTAATTGCTAATGACGTAATTCTATGCCATTGTTGACTCTAGTGTACTGGAACAATGAGAACTTGCACTTTTGCTCTGCTGGTTGAACTGTGAAGCAAATAACCTCTGCCTGCTGGGTAAACAGCTGGGTCACAGTCCTCAACTGCAATAGCTGAATTGTCAAATAATGCTTCTTAAGAAAGTGATGATACATTTAAAGTATTTATCTGAAGTCAAGTAATGTTTATACACATATTTTCACTTAGAAAACTTCAGGTATTTGTAGGCTTTGTAAAAAAAAAGTTCAAAATGAAACAGTGATGCCTGTTTTTGAAAAGGAAATAAGCTAAAAAAATTAGAGCTCATTATGGAATGTGTAATCGGCATTAACAAAAATTAAGTCTCAATTCGATAAATCCTATAGTAATAGAATATAAAATTTTAATAGTAAAGGATAACCTGAGAAAATACAACAAGAATGCTGTAGTTTTTGCCAGTGAATAAATACTCAACAAGAATTAGGTATTTTATTTATTGATTGATTTAGATATAAACATGTTTTCTAACATGTTTATATCCAAATGGATATCCATGGAAAGGTAAATTCAATATTCTGTGGAATGTTTGTAACTGACACACATAAAGTATATTTACAATAAAAATAGGCAAGGAGGGAAAAGGAGAATATATGAAAAATAAACACAAAATATACAAAAATGCAAAGTCAAGCTTTCAGAGAACTAGAAATGCTGAAATTCAATTTGCCTAAGAAGCTTCCATCTGCTTTATCTTGCAAGTATGTGTAGGATAAAATTCTATATTCCTATGTGATATTTACCCTCCTGATTCTCAGCTTATTCCACACAAGGTTGGCACACACAAACCTCAGTCAGCAGCTATTTTGCTTTCACATCATTATTCTCTTTGCTCCTCATTTATTATACTCTGTTAAAACTGTGCTTTGAAGACAGTACTGTCAGTTTTCTTCTAGACTTCTATTCTCCTGTTTATTTATGAAATTATATAGTTCCTCACAACTATTAATTAATTTTCAAAATACTTTCAGTAACTTTTTATGGTGGTACTGTTCTCATGTTACTGACAGAAACCTAAAGCAGAAAATCAATTTGTTCACTAGTTTTTGATACTTAACATATTTTCTCTGTTTATTATCAGCAGTGGGAAGTTAATTTGCATGGCAAGATTAAACTGTCAGAGTGTCAGAAATAAAGTAATGATAGAGCCTACTGTTTCCATAAGGGCTTTCACTTTTCTGAGTGACCTTTCTTAGTACTCATTCTTTAGTCCTTCAGCAGAGAGATACCCTTTTAGTAAAATCCAACAGATTGAATGCAGACAGACTCTGCACAGACAGAAGCACCCCAGCTTAAGTAAAATTACATGATTCAACACAAAAAGACAGACACTAAATTCTGGAGCCTAAGAAACCCTAAGCAAAAGGTGTTATTAAACTGGAATAGGGTGGCTGATACCCCAGTTCCTTGATAAACACAATAATCTTCCAGACAATAACTTCCTGAAGTGGGTAATGACTGACATGAAATAAGGCTAAATAGTAAAATACAGAAAATAGTCAGACATGTACTACTATGACACGTTTAACGAAGATGACCCCATTCAAAAAATTACTTCCAAGTATGTTTCTTTCACCAATAATTCCCCATCAAGTTTAAACAAGGGTTGGAATAAGAAGAGTTTCTTGTTTAATTGAGTTAGAACTATGCTGTTACAGAGAAAAATTTAAGGGTTTTCAGAACTAACACAACTTGGTTAAAAAGTTATTAATATTAAAAAGATTAATTAGAGGAAGGTCCTTCTGCTCATTTCCCAAATAAACTCCATAAAGCTTAGGTTTTCCAGGCAAAAAAAATTCAGATTATCCTTTTAGTGCGATTTTATTTTATTCAAGTGCAAAAATAGACTTGAATGAACTATGCCAGTACTTAAAATAAGTGTCAAGTTCAGGTACTGGGACTGTCTGGGAGGGAGGTTTTCTTTTGTCATAGCAGCTGTTACGACAGTGTGGCGTTTTGGCTAAAACAGTGCTCATAACACACCACTGCTTTGGCTATTGCTGAACAGTGCTCCCACAGTGTCAAGCCTTCCTCTTTTTTCCCCCCTCTCTGCCCCCAGTAAGTAGAGTGGGGATGGCCAAGGAGTCGAGAGGGATCACGGCTAAGCTAAATGACCCCAAGTGGGCAAAGGCAGATTCTATACCTGTAACATTGTGCTCAGCAAGAAAAAGTGACAGTAGACGAAGAAGGGGGTTGCAGGCACGGAGGGCTGGACAGAACAAGGATTGTCTTTCAGAGTGGCCACTGCTTGAAGACAGAGAGGGCATCAGCCTGTGCTAGGTTGTGAGTGATTGTCTTTGCATCACTTTATTTCCTCTTTACTATTATCTTCATTCAATATTTATCTTTATTCTGTATGTTATACGATGTACAACTCTCCACGTTTCTCATTTAAGAATATGAAACAAACTGTGACCCTGCCTCACTCACATTGTTCTTTTCCCTCAGATACCAAGAAAAGCAACCTCTTTACGTCCATAACCATGCCTTATAGAGATTGTAAAAAAAAATCAAACATCACTAGCAATATTCTATGTCATTCTTAGAGTACATCACATTGCATTATTAAAACTAGAAATTCAAATAAGAGGCTATTAAAATATGAAAACCGAGCATTTATTTTATGCTGTTGTCTGTCTTACAACTGCAGCAACCTAAGGAAGAGTTTTACTGACTTTGGACACCACATTAAAGTCAATGAAGTCCTAGACTATACTTACTATAAATCTGTGATAATGAGAGTATAACTTTGCATCAGAGCATAAAAGAATTCCCCAGAAAAATATTCTGGGAGGCAAACAACAGTACTGACATTCAGAGCTTTTTCAAGCTTTGACCTGCTTATAAACAGATAGAGATTTATGTCCTTCAATGATCCTGTTCATGGTATATAAGAAAACCAGAGATTAATTCACACTGCCTTTAAACAGGCAAGATGATCTTTTAAAAAATGAAGTTATTTCTTCACAATGTGCTGAGAATTCTACAAGGCCGTATTACTTATACAGCCTGTATTATTTCTGCACAATAAACTATCACAGCAGAATGTTTTATCATCTTTTATGATAACTACAAATATAAAGCATATGCTAGAACTATGAACACTTCTCAACAAGTCAGGCTGGCTAAAATTAAAAACTGCAGTCTAAACTAAAAATCTAAAATCTACAATCTAAACTACCACAACTAGTCCTGGACTACATATATTGCTATCTAATGAAATATGCGGTGGTGTGCTTTCTTTTATCATTCTCTCTCTCTCTTGTTTTTCCTTCTTTCCTTTTTTTTTTTTATTTCTTTTATTTGCTTAAATGCTAAGGCATTCTAAGAAAAAAGAAGAGGATAAGGAATTCTACACAAATTGCTGATAAACCAGCAGTGTACAAGACCAAGCTTAGCTGTCTACACAATAGAGTCAGTCCTCTGTGATGTAGATGACAACAACTGGAGACCTAGGATAGGATTCACTAGGATGGCTTAGATGATCTTTCAGCTACAAAAAGGGAAGTTTTGAAGCCAAGCTGTGGACTATTTCAATTAGAAATAACATTCTGGAAGTCAGTAACTATATCCTATAAACTCACTCCACCTAGATGAAATAACACCCCCTGCATGAGATCAAACCCAGACCTTTAATATTACAAAGTTCTGAAAATCTACCAATGATATTGCTATATGAAAGACATTCTAGTGGAGGAAAAAATCTGCAATTCCTGTGTAAGACCACAGAATTCAAAATTCCTTGGTCTGGAATAAAGAAGTTGGAAGGTGTGATGTTGCAGGTCAGGAATGAAAACTCTCACTACGCAGGGTGTGAATAGAGTTCTGATGGATCCTCCAATAATTTGTCATGCATCTCATGCAGTAAAGGACTCTGCTAACTACAGTGCAGCCTTCTTCCCTTTCCTTTTTCCTTAGAATCATGAACTTATATGCAGATGCACAGTGAAAAGCGAACTGAAGTTGCTTTGTTGCAATGTTATTCAGCATTAACTAAAACATTCAGTACTTTACAGCAGGAAAAAGCAAATAGCTGGTGAGTCAGGAAATCCATTCTTATCAATAA